GAAACGAAGAAAGGAGAAAACGATATCTGCGGAGTTACATAAGGAAGAAAATATTGGAGTTATAATATCTGTTTTTCTTTCTCGGACGCGATGTACAAAGATAGAAAGTTGCGAGTGAATGATTTATACCTATTTCTCCGATGGAATTTTTTTTATCAGATAAGTGGAAGTTTATGTCCCTCTAAATGGCTAATCGAGCGCTAGAAACTAGTTCACGTTGCATATATTTGATCTGACCCAGGATGTGAGAATCGATCTGCCAAATTTGGAACACGTATAAATGTGAAGAAAATTGTATTGATGAAATCGCATGTTTGGCTGTCGATTACAACAGAATCCAGCTTTAGTGATAATTTAGCAAAATCGCGATCATACAGTCATTAGCACATTTAATAATTAGAGGAACCATAATAAGGGCAATATATTGTTATTAATATGTAGTGAATAAATGTGTATTTATGATTGAAAATGTGAAAGCAATATCCCAAAGAGGTACACAGAAATTCGATAATCAAATGAGCGTATCCTCGTAATTGTACCGAGAGTGTAACTCGTCGCGCTCAACCACGAAGAACGTCGCGTCGCGTCGCAACCGACGCAGACACAATAGGGGCTCGAGATCGCAATGCAATTAACGTGGCGTTACATGACAACGCAATGCAACGCGGGGAATCGTCAAAATTAGTAAACAGCGGGGAATTCACCGACGGCAACACCCACATGGCAGACGCGCTCAACCGCGCGGAGCGCGCCGCGTCGCCCCGAAATAAACCACGTTAAATGGATCGTGACTGCTTGGACAATGAAAACGCGAAGTCAATTAACCCCGATGTCGCTGGAGTCCCTAAAACCATCGCACTGATCGTGTTCGATGGAGCGATCATAAATTGATGTAAATCGATGAAAAATCGAAACGTGCACATATACAGAATTGGCCTTTTGCTAGAATTTACAATTTAATTATTAAACCGTATTATTATTATGCCATACAAGAATTTATATTGCTGAATTTTATATCATCTATATTATATCAAGTTTTTAAACAAATAATGTATATGAATTCATTGCATAAAGAAGAAACATTCAGAGTCCGGTATTTTACATGCACCAATTTTTACATGCATCTAGTTTTTCGAATAGACATACGTCTTTTATATAAAATATATTGTATTATGTTTATAATATAATACGCAATCTGTATATGTATGAAAGTACATATTCTGTATGAGATGTATGCGTATATAGTATAAAACTCATAATAAAGCCTATGCCGTAAGATATTATCCGCTTAGCGAGGGAAGAGTTAAAGACGCGTCGAATAGGTAATATCCAGGATTAGCGTTGTAATAACGGCGAAGCGTTTGGTGTAATTATTGCCCCATCAGTGCAATAATATCAGCTCGTTGCAGTCAACGCTATGCGGCACAAAAGCGTCCGTTAAGCGATGTGACGTAAAAAAAAGACAGAGCGTGAGCGGTACAGACGGAACGGTAAATTATGCAGAATATCTCTTTTTATAATCGGCGGATCGTTAAGCCGCGGTTAAATTTAGGCTAATCTGTAAAATTATAGATAAGAATAACATCTGCAAAGTGAACGTGTTCCCCGTTCTTTTAGCGCTGCCACTTTGTCAGATTCGCGCGGATATATTGCAAGCGGCATTTAAAATCCGATTTGCCGAGCAAAAAATAAGCTCGGCTATTAACTTGGAAGTCACGTGTCGTTTATAGACCTTAAATATTCCCGACAATTTTCTTCTACATACCAATTCGGGTTAATCATCGACAGAAACAAACGATGTTAAATAAAATAGAATTTATGCTGTTAAATAGTCACGGATCATCAACGATCATGAAGCAATGCTCTCGTGTACGTATGTACGTACAAAGCGTGTCGAGCTCTATTTAAAAAAATAAAAAATCGGATCGCAGAACCTGTTTCAAGCGGGGCTGCACGGTTCGATCGGAAAAATGTCCTAGCGACACACAATCGCGACACGCTGCTAAGCGATGGCCGCTGGAAGTTGACAAATGCGCGTTAAAACAACGAGCAAACACGTTGTAATTACGCGATATAAGGAAACTCGCGAAACGGCCATTCGTAATGGGATTATAATCGCTCGGCGTGGATTTCTACCCCGGCATCGATGGGTTAAATGCAAGCTCCGTTGCGCTCAATGATACACATTAAGTCCGAACATCGTTTAGATGTCAATGAATTGTTAGAGAATTGTTGAAGAAGAAACAATTGTCACACGCTGGATACGTATTAGATACATTTAAGTTATTAAGTTGGTCGACGTCCAACATGAGCGAACAAGCGAGCGTACCGTTATTCCGCACAGACGCTCTCTTCCCAATATAATAGATGTCTTTTAAACATTTCAATATCTGCTCTTTTTCCGCAGATTTTACGTCGCGGTAAAAACATTAATCTATGCGCTATGGAAGGACAAATTACTGTGTAAAACGCATAAAAGTAAAACAGGTTGGTCATTATTTGGTTTAATTAGTGAAAACTGTCACTAAGGATATAAAATTGAAAAGAAAAAGATTTTTCTCTATCTTTATATATCATATTGTTAATTGGATAAGCCCAATTAATTTTATGGTAATTTCTACGATCATAATCTCATATCTTTATATAGCACCATCAAAATATTAAAATAAAGGATATTTTCTCGTTTCAAGTCTCTATGTCTATCTGTAGAGCTGACATTTCTTGCAACTGAAAATTATCTCCCTGTCATAAAATCTAGAACTAAAGATACAATAAAACATAAGCATCTCCCTGTTGCGAAATTCTTCCGATAATCATTCTTCCTTTTTAGGTAGATTAGATGGTTGAATGTTTAACTGCGAAGAATTTATTGGATAGTAAATCTAAAATTGTTATTAACACTATAAAATGTAACGTGTCCGCTGTGATTCGCGTGAGCTATTTTATTATTTTAATTATTATTCCTCATTTCCTTTTTAAATTAACTGAACAAAATTTTAAATCACTACTCGGCCATTCTGGATTTAAAAAAATATGCATATATATATATATATGTATATATTTATATATATATATATATATATATAAAATTTCTCACTTTAAAAAATGAATAGTGACAGAATGACGAAGTGGCCCACTCTCTAACCGCAATAAATCATTTCTGTATATATTAAGTAGTTTAACTTCACGCAACATTGGCGACAAATTCCGCTACTTAATCGACCTCACATTTTATTTCGACGTCGCATATTCGTTTTGTCAACCGAGTCTCGCGCTCCGCATAGTAGCGCCGCTATAAAAGCCAAAGAAGTCGAAAGAAAAAAAAATCGCTTGTCAAACATTGATTTTTGGCACGATATAAACACGATTTATGCGGCACGCTGCGCCTTGATGTATCACATGGTTGCAAACCGGCCCGATCCCTATCCTTTCATTCGTTTTCAAGCTTTTGATTTATGACCGTCTCTTATGTGTACTCGTAAACGTTATATTGGTTTCCCGCGGCAGCGGAACCGCGTCTGCGACTTTGGCAACCAATTAACACCATATCAGATGCGCCATTTAAAAAAAAGAAGGACCAAAACATTGTGAAAGACAAAAAAAATCTTTCTGATTTTTCCGTTACCTATATATGATGTACAAAATTGTAAAGAAAAAACATCTGTTTGTAACTAAAATAAAATACAAAGGAAATCGAATTTCTAGAAATTTCTATAAAGTTTAATGAATAAAACGTCAATTGATCACTTGACTAACTGTTGCAAAATTGAAAGTTGCACAAAATAAAGACGTCGATTTCTGTTTACGCGAATCTCTGACCGTATGTGGATTAAATGGAATGGGCAGGACGCATATATTTATTTCTTTTATGTCTTCATCCGAGACGGAGTTTAGGATGGGGACAGACTCTGTCTGTTGGCACTTTTTGCTAGCACCTAGACACTGGTGGCTCAAGCGAGGGCGTGCTGACGTGAGACGCCATGACGCTGAGCGCGTTCCAAAAATACGACGGCACTTTGGCACACTGTACTGCGTCCTCAGTGATTCTAGCGGTTGTTTACATCGATAAAGAAGCTGTTGCGAGTGCCATTCCGTGCCATTAGATCTCCTACTTTGTTAGCAACTCTGACGGAATCTCCGGACTCGCCCTCACCGCTTCGAGTCGTACGTCTTCGGCGCTTTTAATCAAAAATATTGCATCATTTTAGTATCTCGTGGACTAAAACGAAATGCGGAGCCATATATAACAAAATGCTAAAAAAATCGATCATCTTTTATCAATTATATATTGACGGCACGACGTTACATTTAAACGATAAATAAATTTGCAAGAGTGAGCATTTCTTAAATAGAATTTAGCAGCAATTTTAGAATATTTAGTATATAAAATTATTCGTCTAGTATAATTACACTAAAATTATAGTTTGGGGTGTAAAATTATACGTTTTAAACGAAGTACTTTGGGACGTAGGTTTTTATTATATCTATTGTAATATTTTATTGCTGTGTGATCTACCACTTGAATACATATATTCATTATACTTAGCGCCGCAATTCTTCAGCAGAAATTATTATCACCTCGTCTCTGCAAATATTTATGTAAGCGCCTTGACATCGGTATTAATGATAATCGTCTTTGTTAGTTGGAGGATACCTCGCGTTGATTTATCGCGATTTTCGAGACAATTTGGTAAGACCGTTCCCCGTGGACGCGCGCAAGCCGCGAGTCCGACCATTCGCACCGGCTATTATTGTCACCGGCGTCACGATACGAGGGCGACGACGAGTTCCTCGCGCGGGAGAGACACGCGCGAGTACATTCATCCGCGTTCACAGAACCGCCATGCGGACGTTCGGACGCCCGTTGAGAGCGGCGCGTTTCCACCATGGCCCCACGATTCATAGTCTCGCGGGTGTACCATTAATGAGAGTCTCTCCTTGCGGCAACTGGCCACTGTTATTATAGCTGCTCATAACAGTCAAGCATCGCGCGCGGGGCATCGCCGCGCGGCAGTCGCGTTGGCAGCCGCCGTCTGCCGTCTGCACGACTGTGAGGCATTGAGCGTCTATTTTCACACGCGCCGCGCGTCCCAAACAGCCTCATTCCTTGTTGCAACGATTCCGATTCCGAGTGAATGTCCAGCAGTGTGGACCACCCTCTGGTCAATTAAAGTCGACGAGCCGGAGAGATTTCGGGCTGGAACGGCTGCGGCGGCGTGCTTGGAATGAAGTCAATCGTTAACATCGGGGTTGACAAGCGAATGAAGAAAAAAGAAACGAAAGTCTCTTTCTCTCTCTTTCTCTCCTCCGAAAGAAATGATAGACTTTGCTACCGTATTTGAATCTCAAGTAACAATTATTTATCTAAGAAAGATGTTTAACGCATAAAATTGTGATTATCTAAGAAATTTGAACAGGATGGATGTAATTGTGCTTAAAACTTTACGAAAATCGAGGGGATCCTTCACACCGCTTGTATTACACGCACTCGGAAGCACTTTCCGCAAAAGGATCGTGCCAGCTAAGACTGAAAAATTCAGGACCGGCTACGCCGGTGCAACTCCCGTCCTCGCGTGCGCAATTAAAATTAATAAAATGATAATTAATAAAAACAGCAGACAAACGCAAGACGGCCATAAGAGACCGCGAGCTCTCTTTCTCTTTCACTCACGTGTCGTTAATTCGTTATGAGCTTTCGGAGGAGGGAAAGAGAGACGTTTTCCACAAGCCACTTTGGCGCTCTCGACGCGACGAAGAGGAGACGCGCTTCTCTCTGGTACCCCCTTAAGAGTAGAGTCGGCTGTCATAAATGTCATTAACTGATCGCCAGCGTTTACAGGCTTGAGAGCCGGTTGTCATTTCTTAACGTGGCGGATCGTCTCCGCCGATGGTGGAGTGCAGCAGCTACGATAACTACACCGCTGGTAATTATTCCCCTTAAGCACATCGATTATCATTTCATTAACTGACACCGCCGCTCGATCGCGTATTCTAATTTTCTTTGGGGTGAAGGGATGGCGCGTCAAATTAAAGTGACTTTAAATCTTTATTACGTTTCAATCTTGACGTCGCTCAAATCTATCGCGAGAATGTGTAAAATGTTCACTGACTACTCGATTCAATATTATATTATGCTTGATTTATTTATATTTTATTTAAGTTAATTTATCATCATTATTTTTATTATTTATGTTAACATTTAATGTTTAGTTGGAACTGATATCAAATCATATTTAAAAAATTGGATGTATAATACACAAAAAAAATTTTAAATTTATGGAAACGAACTTTTCTCGTATTTATAAAGAAAGCTCAGGCATGTGTTCTCTGCAATATTCAAAATAATATAAAATTTTGATGCTAATTTCTGTCTCTTCTGTTTAACGAGAAATATATTTTTCTTTTGTGTACTAAATATGTTTCCAAATTTGTCGTTTAAAAAATACCTTTTCCACGCGTGACTTCCCCAGTAGTGTAAATATCGCATCGTGTCCAGGAGAAGGCAGATTAATCTTCTCTTCCAAAACATTCGTACGTAATACAGAGAATCGAGAGAGAGAGCGAAAGGCATCGCTAGTCGCGAGCGGGTGTTGGAAAGAGTACAAAAAGAGAAATCCGGCCAGACAGTGGAGGGCGTGGGAGATACATTTATAAACTCGCATCTGTGAGCTTAGAATCGCATGATTTAGTGACTACGGAAGGAGATCTTCGCGTCCGCTTTAAGCGGCCTCTTCAGCCGCCCTCGTTTGCGAGAAATGGCGTTTCGCCGAGTTAAAGTGTCCCATCGATCATAAGTAAAATGGATTGCGAGATTATCGGACAGACTGTCAAGTACTTTTAACCTTCTCCGTGATTTAATTCCGAGACTTATTAAAACTTTTACAAGCGTTCCATCTCTCTGATGGAAAATCATTGTAATTTCGCAGAAAAACATGACATTACGTTTGCATTAAATATTTATTTCAGAATTATCAATTGTCTTTTACCTTTTCTATCTTTAATTCTATCTATCTTTTCTCTTATCATATCTTTAGAAGTAAAGGATTTTAATATCGAAATGTTCAATATTAAAAAAATGATAATTAAATGATGAAAATGAATATTAAAAAATTGCGATGTATGTGAGTAATAATTTTTAAATTTTTCACTCAAAAAATATTGCTTTGAAATTCATCACAGAATTTATAATTAACAGGAAGTGCATGAATTTAACTATAAATCTTGACAATAATAGATTTTAAAGTAATTAGAGATTAATGTTCGTTGACACGTTTGTTGAGCTCGCCCGGAATTGAATCCTGTTGAAGCGTGTTCCAACTTACGAGTGCCATTATTTCTTCGCGCATTGTGTATCGCTGGTCGCAGATATTCCATTAACGTAACAAATGTTTGCGTGTATAATCCGCCAAAACGGATTTGTGCGCGTTAACGTGCACTTCGTGCCACATTTCTCAGCTCCGATCAGCAACGTTCCTTTAAGCTTATGTATGTCTTGCTCGATTGTTTCGTCTGCGCCATTTTATACGATACAGATCCTTTGCATTCGTCGTATGTCGTATTTAAGTGCCTGTTCACGTTGTACCAAGTAACGTTCCGCGAGTCGTTAAAATAGGCGATTAATCGTGCTGCACAAGAGGAAATATACTGGCGTTTTCACTTAAATCAACTTCGACTAATGATGCTACGGAACACAAATATGACAACGACGTCGCATATGTATAGGTGAATATTATGTCTATCATGAGTGTATACACTAAATAAATCTTTAAAAATAAATCTTTGCGTATACTTTGATACATTATAAAATTGATAGTTACGTATATTAAGAGATGATTCTTTGTCCTTCAATTATCATGGAATAAATATTCTAATATTAATATAATTAATATAATATTATTTGTTAAATAAATTAAAAGCTATTGTGCTATTTTTGAATAAAAAGATTATAATCTTTTTCTGTTAAACTGGTTATATATTATTAGCATTTTTTCATACTTTTTCAGTATATTTTATTCATCTTAATGTGCGCACGAATAATTTTAAGGAAAATAGCTAAATTGTGCCTTAGAATTCCGGCGGTATTCTCGACTGCGGTCGATACTCTGTCCGATTCTCTACGTCACCGAGGGCATGCAAACGCACTAAATTTAGATCGCTATCGTCGGTACGTGCAATCCGTTCTGCATTGTCGGCAACGACAACGATGTTTTTCCGTATTATTAATTATCTTTTGACCGCGCGATTTGTAAGCGCGCGACTAATTGGAGACGATCGGCGCCGTCGAGCTACGAATTCCGACGATGATGACTGGACCACGGACGTGGATTTCGACCGAGATCACGAACGCTTTGCTCGCATTGCGGAATAGCGCGACGTTAGACACGAGGGAGCATGTACGACACAAGTGAACGTCGCAAATAGCCGAAATAGCTAGCACGCATCCGAGAAAGCCATGGTCCGTGAAATATATGTCGTTACGTTGTTATCGAAGGTACCTTTACGACTTTTGGGGCTTTTGGGATTTGAAAATCGTTCGCGTCAGATCCAGTTAAATCATTTTTACGGTAAGTCATTTTTTGCTGATAGATACTTGGATACGTCACATTTTAAAATTATCGTTTTGTATGATATTTCAACATAATTTATAACACAATAAATTATTGAATTGTCCAACAAGTTGGACTGTCGCCATAAAAAAATATTTAAGTTTTGTAAAAAAATATTAAGGTATTGAATAAATTATTAGATATTTCGTCAATTAAAATCTTTGTTGCACATTTAAAATAATTTCTATAAATACCTACAATCAGCTTCCAAAACAAGAATGAAAAAAAAGATTGTAATCCGACTTTGACGAAACTCAGCGTTAACACGTAACAGAATCCTCTATCATGTTTCCTACGCGTAATAATGTGTGAACGTGACAGCTCCAGATAATATCCCCGACGATCTCTAGCCAGACGGAACATTTCAGGAATCATTGGTAACGCCTAACCAGGCGCGAGTCGCTCAACCTCGTTATTACATCTCCCGCCGGATTCCTTTCCGCGTTCAGGAACGTCTCGTCTCTCTTTCTCTCTCTCTCTCTCTCGGAAATGTTGCCGTGCCCGCTACTCGAGGCACGGTGTTCGTAAATCTTTCGCCGTAGTTACAGCCGCCGGGCATTACGTTGATGCACTATTTATAAACACGTGACATCGAGACGAGTGGTTGGTGCGGGTGGGCCAAGAAAACCTACGTCGCTACTGCAGCCGAGTAGCTTCATGTTCTCGCCTCTTCTAGTCCACCTGCTCTCGTGTAATCAAATGTTTTCCCTTCCCCTCTTTCTCCTTCTTACTGCTTCTTGTCTGCTTCGTGCGCACTCGGTTTCGCATTAAATTCCTCATGAGAACGAAGATTCTTCGATTGCTCTTAATATTTTTTTCCGTGAAAACTATACTATCAACTGTCAATTTTACAATTAATTTTTCAAAGTTACAATTAATTTTTTTATCGAATAATATAAACTACACTTGCGCAAAAAATTAAAAATAAAAACTCCAAAATTGAATAACAGAAAATATGATACAGCGGAATAAAAGTTACGTTTATGACAAAATACTTAGAAATATTTTATGAACATATAAATGAATTTTATGAACGTTAAAAGAATTAAATAATAATTGACATGTACGAATATAATAATAATTTAGGAAGATGTTCATATATTGAGTTAATTCAATATATTGAGCAAAGAAACTTGAATAAATTATACAGAAAAAAGCTCGGTTTATATTACTGATTGATGCAAATAGTTCACTTATTTTACATTATTGAATACATAATTCCTTTTTTTTTAATTAATGTACATTTCACCATCACTTATGACGATCCCTCCGAATAATTTCATAGCTCTGCAACGTTTATCACAGGTGTCTCCACGATGCGTTTCGCCCCGATTAAAGTGATATTAAAAAAAAGTTCGTTTTATATTACGCGCTGCTTTCAAGACGACTTCTCGTCCGAACTATAGCCGTTCGATACGCAAAAATCATACGGTCGTAATTATCTTAAAGCTACCGCGGTGCCCACACCATGCAGATCATATGTCTTGTCGGCTCCTACCTTTCCTCGGTGCGCGCTTGCGAGGAGTGAGACGTTCGAGAGCCGCGAGTGCATTAATCTCCGGCGATGGTTGCGTTAATATAATCGTTTAATATGTCTGGTTTATTAACTGCGCCCGTTCTCATTGGCCCGTTAATTCACCTTTCCGCCGCGGACCCGTCGCGAACCGAAAATCCGGCACGCGAGAATGAGCGAGTGGACGGAAGAAGAAGTAAAAGAAGAAGGAAAAAAGAGAGATCATTTCGACTGACCCGTCGTGTCTTCGCGTGCAATGCGAATGCGAGGCACCTAAATCTGACGTATGCAGCACGCCGCAGAATCAAAGGCCCGATGATGAAAGAATACGTATAATTTGATGTACGACGAATCGGATTCATCGTATACTAAAATTATTTCTACGCGAGGCTGAAAAGAAAATAAATTATATCACAATTCTCGTCAAATCCCGATATTTAAGATATTTTATCATTCGAAATATGCAGAAAATACATAATATATATATATGATTATGTGTTTGCGGTTAAAAACGCGAATTGACTATTTATCGTAATTAAGTTTAAGATCTCGTTTTTTGAAAGCAATGCTCTCATTGAATTATATTATTACAGAAACGGCCACATCCGACAAGTACGAAAAATTACGTCGCTAATGAATATCTGGTGGATAACACTTTCTAAAGCGTAAGCGGCATATAAGCGGAAAGATTATATCTCCGCGCGACAATAATTAAAACCTGGTTGCCACACCGTCGCGCTGATAGATGCTCGCGAGCGGGACAAATTATGATAATAAAATTGTCAACGCGTCTCGATCTCTCCGTGTTCCGAGAACACCAATTATTTATTACGCTCGTAATATTCATGCGCGCGCGATCGTACCGCCGTTGGGAGCGGGGCATTCGATGATTGGTCGATCAAATAATTTGTATATTGCGCCACGGGGGAAAACGCTAATGTGACGCGCACCAAGTCGGCCGATAATTAATCCAAAATGGCGATCCGCGGTTTAAAAAAAACCGCGTTTACGATGGATAATGAACCGCGTCGGGCGCCGCCGGTCAAGTATGCAAAAGCGAATAACACGTTCGACTTACGCGTCGACTAGTCGGTTGCGGAAGGCAGAAAGGTGGCCCGCGCTCGGCCAATCGCAATCGTCGCCGGTTACACGGTGCACAATGCGCCGATCGACACGTCGATTGGTCGACCGAACGACACCGGTGTCGCGAGGGTTATGTCTTTCCACATGCGGACTCTACTGTCATTTAATAAGCGTCCTCCGGGTATATTTCGAAGCGCAATCGAGCCGTGTCCTCGAACCGTGACACCTCTAAGATCGGTTGTCGCAGCCTTAGGTCTTTTGATCTTTACAGGTAGCAATTAACCCTACGTTGGTTAAGCTAAAAATGTTGCAGAATTTCTACACAGGATGTATTAAAAGTGTCTTTCAAATTTAACGACAGATAGATGGCGGTCTTGATTTTTCCTTAATTGAAATGTCGACGTTTTTAATATTTCTCGAGTCCGTAAACGATTGAGGAAACAAGAGAATTATCGTGAACATGCAGTTTAAACAATTTATAGAGACAGAATTATTATTATTTACTGTTTAATTCGTATATGTAATGTAGGTAAAGAGATACTGAATTACGATTAACGGAAAGCGGATAGTCTATAGTTCGGTTGAGGATTCACCGAAGTATGCCTCGTATAATAAACCGTTGCGATCGTAAAAGGCGCAAAATCTGTGACGATCGGCAGAGAGCTTGGCCTTCTTGCGAGCGGTCCCGCGCGTTCCTCTCTCGCAACGTCCTAACGACTTTCCGAGCAACAAGAAGTAGACCACGTCGGGTAAAATCGCGCATACGCGCTCCGGGAAGCCGCGGCATTGTCTTAGAAGAAAATACGCCGGCGAAGTCACGGTGATTATGACGCCGCGAGGTGTGGAGGATCGGGATCGATGGATTCCTGGAAAGAGCGAGCGTAGGTGTAAAAATGCCTCGGTGGGCAATCGTCACGCTCGGTTCGCCGCATTCTGTCCGGCCGGACATCCCGCGGCGAGGGAGGTGATGGCTCCCACACGCACACACATACGATACAATGCCAATACGCGCGCTCGTGCACACGCTCGTACGCATAAACACGCATGAAGCGTGTGTGGAACCGCTGTGCGATTCCGTCGGCGTCAGAAGCGTGCGGCACGAGGGCGACCGTCGTCGTCGCCCGGATTGCGTTCGTCGCCCGTCGTTCTCCCGCGGCGTTGGGAAACAGCACGCTCGTCGTGGGAGCGGCGAATTCCGCGCGCAATTATCCTGACGCGCGACATTTGTTAGGGTCCTGTCGGCCCGGTCGGAGTCCCGACTTGGTCTCGACGGGGCGGACAACAAAGTCTCGGAGCGGAGAACGCGCGGGTCCGTTCGCTCCGTCGTTGTTCGCAAGCCGCCGCCGTGAGTGACGTTACGAAGTCACGTTCCTAGAGTTCCTCGAGGATCGGTTTTGCCGCGGTGTGCTCTCCCTTCACGAGACACGCGAGAAGTCGGGTGAAGCAATATCTCGCGACACCGGCACGAATAACGCGCCGCGGGTGTCCGAGTTGTTGGGATCGCGTCGAGGCGCGCCACGGGGAATTGAAACTGATGTAATCACGGCGGGACAAAGTTTGGCTTTCAGAAGCAACGCGGATGCAAATTCAATCTACGACGTGTATACCGTACGGGTAACAACGCAATTGGCGACCGGCGTAAAGCCCACCGCCTCTCTGCCGTCGCGAGTAGTGATATATCGCGGATTATACGCTCGCGCGGCACGTCGATTGAATTTAATTACGGAAATACACCGGCACTCGCGATCGTTCTTATAACGTCGCGCGCGGTCGTCGCGAGGAAGAAATACTGCGGATAGAAACGAGGAGGAGATCTAAGCGCGCCGTCGTCGCCGCGATCGATGAATAATAAAACGTCCGCAAAACGAAATGCCGGAGAGCGACCGGGATGCCACCGACTTGTCGTGTTCCCCCTGCCGCCCTCCTACCCTTCGCCGCTCTCAATGCGACGTTGATAAATAATTATTGGAGTATAGACGCGGGCATTTACAAGCAGGTGCGCATTCGAGGAGAGGCGGTATTTTCACGACACCTGGTGCTGATTAACGGACAAAATCGTCGGCGCGAGCGAGCGCGTATAGCGACTTTAAAAGCGACCGGCTAAATTGCCGCGTTATTCCTGTAAACCGCGGCTATCCCCACGACTACTGTCCAATTACCGGACGAGGTGGCAAGTCGTCTCCGTCCGAGGATACACGCGTTCCGCCGCGCGCGCGCGCGCGCGCTCGCCGCGGCTTGGAATCGCGACTTCTTTTCTGCCCGGCGACGGCACCGTTAAGGACGGATAATGAGACGAGTCGCGAGACGTGTATATAGAAAGAGAGAAACCCTCGCGAGAGCGCGCGTCGTCATATTACCGCAAGCTAGCTACCGCGTACGTGCGGTAGCGCAATTTCATATACAAAGCCCGGGGTGAGCCCCGGCGTGATGACCCCGAACCTCCATTAGATTTATACAGTCACAATGTTGCACGCCGCTCACCGCCGCGATTTCCAAGATACACAGGATGTTTGCAGCAGTCCCGAGGCGCATTTGCATTCAACGAGAGCGAGAGACGCGCGACCACGAGCGAGGCACGGAGGTTCCATGCTTTTTATCTTGAGCAACCGCAAAATCGTCATTTTGTTGTCATTAATATTGCTAATATTACATTCATCGCGATGATAAATGTTCCAGTTTTATAGGGATTTTATATGTGGTTATGCTGTCGATCGAGGAGTCGCGTGCGGATCATCGGTCGCCGATAATCGATCGAGCAGCTTATTTTTCTTAATTATGCATGCCGGAATGTTATGAGTGTTAAAACGAGCGTATTAATTAAGGCGCTTTCAATGGGAGTGGTGCATCTCGGGTTACGTGACACGATATTTACTCGGCCGGTGGTACTTACGTGTTACCTGTATCGCAATGCACGCGCGACGGCGAAGCTAATTATGCGGGAAATGTAAAAAAGGATACCGCGCGGCCTGAGGAATATGAAATGAGCGATGAAGAGCAAGAAACGAGGCTATTCAATGATCAACATCGACATAAGTCGCATAACTTACCGCGCGAGACTTCTTATCTCTTGTTATTACAGTCTCGAGCGTGTTCTTCTAAAATTACTGCTTGAATTTATTTTGAACTCCTTCGTGTCGATACTACTTAATAAATCTTGTAATTATTAATATGATTGAATTATATAACGTGTGAATTAGTGCATTATCATAATCTCACGTCGGTAAAATGAAAGAAATTTGCGAAAAGGAAAAAAAAACTGAAAAAATGCATTTTCATGCATATACTTCTCTTATGCTAATACTAATCTCTCTAAACGTGGAATTTATGCTACGAATTATTTCCATCGTCATATTCGATTGCGCGATTTGAATAAAATTTCGGCATCATCTACAGATCTTCACTTTTCGTGCGATCCGAATCTAGATTCCGGTGGCTTCTTCTTAGCAACGCGCGTCGGAGAAAATAGCGCATCAATAACAACAGTTCAGTTATCTCCGGACAGGCCATTGACGAGCAACACATTCCATCCTCTCTTCCCAAAATCATATTCGGCATCTCGATTTAACCGATTTTTATCGGTTATTAAATCTTCTTAGTGATTATTTAAGCGCGCCGGCTTAAATGTGCCGTCTCCAAGTGTACGCGTTCACCGAGTCCAAGTTATCTTAGCGTCGTCGCACATTTCGGGAAGTCGCAGAGAAGCCACCGCGACTTATTTAGAAAATCATCCAGATCATCACGGATTGCGCCAGATGATAAGCGGATCGCCGAGATTAACGTCGGCGATAATCTTCTTGCGACACTCGACCTCTCCGAGCTCCTCGCATGTGGCCCCTGAAATTCTGACGAGAACTACTCATGAGACGACGCATAACGGCATTATCATCGTGGAATATCTTCAAAGGATAGAAGAGACGAGAAAGGGCGAAGTATGACGAAGCCAAAGATGTCGGCCCTGGTGGCCTCCGCCATTCGCAATCTGCGGGAAATTCGTGGTTCCACGTCAAAGGAAATCATGAATTACATTAAATCCCAATACACGGGGTCGGACGCCAACATACAAAAGCAGGTATTTGATAATTAACAGTTTGGCAAATATTTTATCAGTAATATTCATTTTTTTTTGCACAAAAAGCATGTGTTACGTATATTATTTTATGTTACTTTTCCTATCGATATTAATTTCTAATTCTCTCATTATAGAAGTAATTAATGTATAATAAAAATTAATATACTAATGCTTAAAATTTTTTTATTTCATTCTCCTCAATTTTGAAAGATATTGTAAAATTTTCTAACTTTGTTACGTCATGTTACTAAACAAAACAGAAAAAAAAACGAAAAATTTTACTGAAAATTGTAGATTAATGAACGCAGTAAACAAGCGTTTGTTAATTCTACAAGAAAATTGTTAGTCATACAAGAAATGCTTTTTTCACAGATATACGCTGCGTTGAAACGCGGCTTGGACTACGGTATCCTGAAGAGGGACCGTGGTTATTACAGCCTGAGTACGGATCCTGACATGATGTACAAAGCGCCCGTGGCGCCCTTGGAGCAAGGCAGGAGACGAAGGAGGCGAAGGAGGCGAGGACGTGGCCGTGGAGTATCGCGAAGAAGACCTAGTCGCCGAGGCCGCGGGAGGAGGGGGAGGGGAGGGGCAGAGGCAGGGGCAGGGGCAGGGGCAGGGGCAGAGGTAGGGGCAGAGGAAGGAGGAGGAGGAGGAGAAGCAGAACCAGAAGCGGCGGGAGAGGAAGTCCTCCGGCTAGAACGAGGTCCCTCGCGGCAGCCAGGTGCAAATGCGTCTCGTCCAGGAAGCGTACGGGGGACACCTTGAGAAATTCCCCGGTGATGGAGAATCTCCGAAAGGACATGACTTATTTGTATAAGAAGAGCGCCGACAACCAGACGCCGTCCAGACACCACAGCCGCAGCCGGGATCGAAGTCAGTCGCGCAGCCTGTCGAGTAGCAGCGACAAGGAGATGATTGACGACCGAAATCGCGATCAGCCGTGAACATCTGCACACGAAAAGATACTGCGGATCTTAATCCTTCGCAGTCGTATATCGTTGTATATCCGCGTAAAATTGACATCAAAATTTTATATAAAATTGAAAATTTTTATTAGGTATATTATACATCATTATTATATTTTATTATTGTTTCGTAGAATTCAATTTGGAATAGGAAGCAAATTTTATAATCTTTTAATCGGGGCTGCAAAGGATTAATCGTTCGACGCGGTGGTTATTGATCAGTGACGCGGGGATAACTCTCACGAATTTTGTCTTATTTTGGCGATAAATTATAGTGGTCCGAAATGTACGTCGATAGCGAATCTTGTTTTGTAGTCTTCGACTTTTTACAAATTTTATATGTTTCCTTTACACTAAGTAATTATACACTGTTGTATCACCACAATCGGTTTTGTTCTTATTTCAATTAATCCGATTATTTCCGCTCTCATTCGCTATTATACATTTTTAGAATTCTGAAAATCCAGCTGATTATTTCTAGGAATGATATCGAGGGACGACAGCCAGAGTTTTCTTTCTTATGTTCTCCGAAAAGCGAAATCATGAAGTCTCATGGAATTGACACGATTTTCAGGTGCGAACGTGGCTCCAGAAGTCCTGATGCAGATAAAATCCGATTGCTGTAACTCTTATCGCGACGGGGACAGGTTAGAAAGGATCGAGAAGTGATTAGTGACATTTACCGGTCTCGAGCGGGAAGGCAAGGGAGAGAGACACACACGAAGCGAGAGAGAAAGACATCTGCCGATTCCCGGTACCGTTTAGATGTCCTGCAGGTCCGCCGGTCACAATGCCGCGATCTAACTGCTCCCTATTCTCCGACAGGACTCTCCCCCGGAGGTCGACGCGACGCTAATACCGTGATCTATCAAGCGATACTAATGCGATTCTAACGGTGACTCTTTCTATCGTAAGATCCTTCTATAGCCGGAGAACCGTTCGCCGTTCTTCCGTTCGTAAGCAAAACTCTCTCTGGTGGTCCATTCAGAGTATTAATTTCCGCGCAAAAAAAGCATATTAAATCTAAAAGTGTCATCTAAAAATGCGAGTTGATTTGTCTGACGTCCCTAACGCGACGTCAGCTTCCGACAAGATTTCGCACCCAGTGATGAGTCGCACGAAAGCACAGAATGTCTCTAAATAAAGTTTTCCGCATTACTATAAATTGACGGAGTAACAAAGCTGTACAGTTATAATGCATCTTCTTGATTAACGAGAAGTTCATGAAATTGCGTAAACGGTGAAAAGGCATTTTATGAAATAATATCGCGCGAAAGAATTTAAATGATAACAAATTCATGGCAATCGTTTTTTTCTTTTTTTTAGTAATCTTCTCACTTTGTCAAGAAGTAACGAGAGAGCACAGAGAGAATAGAAGTTACTCGCGGTCGTTGGCAGGCGCAACCATCGTGTCCCGAACGGCGTTTCACGCCGCTCGTCGCTGCGTGGTTCCACCTAAATGACGTGTCGGACGGACAGGAAGAGGTCCGGAGAGAAAACCGGCGATACCATCTTCTCTTTGCGCTCGCGATTGCTCGTGAAACTCCCGGATACCGAGATGTCAGTGGGTTCTCACGTACACCGACTGGCCGAGATAGCGTCACCCCGGCATTACGCGGTGATATCATTAAGGTAGATTTATGCTACCACCGACGGCAGTGTCGACTCTCCGGGAGAGTCTCCAGATTAGGAGTTAGCCCACAGAGGAGCCACGCCCGCGGACACATCTGACTTAACTCATATCGTAACTTACAGCGGTGTGTGCAAGAAGTGTGTCCGAATGTATGTACACGCAACGTAATGCCCGCCGAGCACTTAATGCTCTATTAACAGATTAAAAAAAGAAGATGTAGTCGATTATCGCAGATGATCTGGAAGACGGAAATAATTTAACTTTGCATAGACAGTCCTTCTTGCTCTGTATATTTTGTAAAGTTATTCTTACGTTTAATAATAGAGCTGATAATTTTTACTTCAAATGTATATGTAAAGTTCACTTTTTTAAATATTTATTGCTTTAATAAATTGATAAAATTTGAAAAATGATTCTTACTGAAAGAATGTTTTATTAAAACTCTGCTGATAACATACAGAAATGTATTTTTGATTATTATTAGCCAAACTCTTTGGAATTAAGTCTTTCATATTTGTTGATGTAGAATCGCAAGATTAAATGATTTAATGATTACATGATTTAATTAATTTGATAATTTCAGTTCTTAGACGAGCGATTATTCACACAGGAACTTGTAGCGTTTTACGTTTTCTCGCATTTATATATACAAAAGCAAGAAAAAAAAGAATCTTAGAAAATACAATACAATAAGAACGAGAGGAACGAACGTGCTCAAGATCGCTGCTCTAGTTTGTGTCAACGCTCCAGGAATTTAATTGCGCCGCCATCTCCGCAGCTAATATATCCGGACCACACGAGAGAGATTTTAATTCGTGCGATCCGCAGCGTTGATAACTACTGGGTACTCGAATTAGGCTACATCGACGATATGGAAACAGCAGGTGGCGATCCTGGCATCCAATTATAGTCCGAAGTGTTATTAACGATCGATCGCAATACAGCTCCTGTACTTAACTAGCGGGCAAGTATGCCGCATCATCTACCAGCGCTCTCCTAATCGACTGTCTTACATTGTGCGAGACGGTACTGCCATTATGTGATGGACGTATACGCATCTAATCACACAATTTCCACATCGATACCTCGTTTCATCTTCTTAGCTTAAGGATGCTTGACAATTTCTTATAATTCCCTTTAAAAATTACTCCGACGTTAAGATCGATCGCAACTTTCGATGCTAGAGAACGAAAGGATATGCGTTATATCAATTATCGTGTCTTCATTATCGCGAATGAGTGTAGAGATTAATTCCACATATTTCCAGCAGCTAAATCTTCGAATTCCACTTCTTTCAACAACTGTGTATTTGTGGCTTTTGTGTTGTAACTCTCGTTTCGGAATAACTGCGAATTACGCTACTGTCACCGCTCCTCTCTAATACACAGCGGACGGATTTAGCGCGGATTTCTTTTCGCTGACACTTCGCCTCGTCCGATCGGCGTTCATTATCGCGGCCGCACTAGAGCAGCGCCGTACAAGCGCTTAACTGTTTTGTCCCGGCTGATGGATAGCGCGTTCGCACATTATTACCGGACACTCGGCCAGTTTTATGAGTCTAGATTGGTACATGGCTCTTTTACCCCCGGCTAGACTGCCCGGACCCGAGCAACTGCGGCGTTAATAGTGTATTTACCGATAATGATCTCGGTGGTACGCGATAGTCGCGCGAGGAAAATATCGAGCGCGGAAGTTCGACGTGATTTACGAGCGCCTCAATCGCGGCCTCGCGAATCCGACCGGAAGTCGTAGCTGCGGTGGGCAAACCGGTCCGCTTTTCGATACGGATGAAAATCTGAGAGCGAGAGAGTCGAGCGGCAAGACGACGCGACATCGAAAATGGAATATGAATAGTTCTAGTTCGGCACTGGCCAGTCGATCAGTCGTCATTAGCGCGAGAGCGTGTTTATTGCCCGGTTTTATGTCGTATAATTATCCATTGTGAAATTCATTTCTCGTTCATCATGTCACACCTCTGTTGGAAAAAGTCGTAACCGGCAGAGCTGTAAGTTTTGAAGTGTCGCGAATGTTTCCAGTGATTGATATTTCGATTGGAAACGCGGATATAATGTTATTGCTGCAGGCTAGAAAGCGGTAGTATTACTTTTCTATTGAGTCATTTGCGTAATTTGAAGGATTCCTGATTGCCTCCTTTCCTTTGATTGCAATTATTGTTGAAACTAATTTCAACACATTGGAGCTGCGATATGTATCACGAAATTTTTTATGAGTTGTATTTATTAATTATAGAATTGTAAAAGAGCTATTCTTATAATCTAAAATAATAAAACTTTGCAATAGAGCATTATAAAGATAATATAGTGATTAATTTATTATTATTCAAACTAAGTATCTATACCTTTCTAACTGTGTAACCTAAACAATTTTACTATTAAACTTATGTTATATCAAATAATGAGAAAATTATTTTAAAAAATGCCTTACTTTGTCAAGTAAGATCTTCCAATGGTATCGATAATTATTTATTTGCAGTCTTTTAATTAACTCTGCTTTAATTAACCTTGAGATAAGATTGAAATGTGAGTAGAATGGTAAGCCTCGCAAAAGCGTGACGAGTCGTAAATACGGTGGGTTAAGCGGAAGAGCTTTGACGTTACACCTGCAACATGCGTTTAATAGACACGCTATACGGATACGGTTTTTGTGGCATCTTAAGAGCAGGGCTGGCTCGTATCCACACCGGTCCTATCGCCCGTTGCAACGCTGCAACTCGCATTTGCATCGCTAATTAGCCGGGTCCTGCGTGGCCGATATCGACGTTGATAGCATTAACCGCTCTGTTTTTCGTCCGAATCGCACCACGAATTTTAATTATATCCCCTTCGTCCGTCGATCGCTCGTATTAGTGTCTCCGATTAATCCCGTCGCGATAATCTATATACGCATTATGAATAACCGTATACGCACGGCAGGACGGTATTATGGGCAGAACGTTTGGATATCTCTTCGGATACTTTGTCAGAGGATCTCTGCGCGTATAAATAAAGATGAGTATACTTAAAATATCCTCGCCGTTATCTCCAAAAGGTACATACATGTACGACTGAAAAAATAACACGGTTGCCTTCTGCGCCAAACGTAATTACATCAAATTTTGCAATTTAAATCTCATTCTATAAATAGTTTCTAAAAATTTCACGCAAAACGTGAAATATATTTGCATTTATAAATTTTGTTTTAATGATATGTACCAAATATTGCTCATATATACCTATATGTATATATTATTTTTACATTGTCGAAAGTAAATCTGTAATTTTTAATTTGATATGTTTTGACATACGTGACTGCTTAATCTAACAAAGAACAAAACATTTTATTTTCCCATAAAAGATTTAACTTGCGCAAATGTGACGGTATATTGCGTGCGTTGGCGAATCCTCGCGTGATCAGCTTCGCGCGGATATTAAAAGCGGCATCACGATGCGAAACAAAGGTCCACTTCGGTCTTCCGGGGCTCTTCATACTCTCGCGCACGTGCTATATAATTTCGGAGAGTTGTCAAGAACGTCACTTCAATCGACGGACGTTCCGATCGTTACGCTCTTTCTCGATCGGCTCTTGATCGCTCTTTATCGACTGTAACGAGGTAGACGTGCAAGTGATGCGCTATACCCGGGCTTAGCAAGGAAATTAACGTGACGTGAACGTGCCGGTGACAACCGGTAATTTTTTTGCCGATGCTCGCACCACCATTTAATTGATTTTAAAATAAATCGTAATTATGACAGACGCGCGCGCGCGCGCGAGAGAGAGAGAGAGAGAGAGAAAGAGGCTGCGAATCTCGGCCAAATGTACGTTTCTTTTACAGCCGAAGCCGTCGCGCTGTGAAACCACCACCTCTTGGCGCGGCTAACTGTAAATAATCACACGTCGCCGCGTAGAATCTCCGTTTTATATAGTTAGCGCACGGTTCGTCGTAATTCAATGACATAATTTTTAATCAAGACGCAGCTGAGAGAAGAGCTACCTCGAAGAGAGCACCTTCCGGTACGTGAAACCGGTAACCATCGGGTTACCGGTCTTGTATTTATATAAAGTATAAACCCAACATAGAGAGAGAGGGGGAAGGAGAGGGAGAGGGAGGGAGGGAGGGGAGAGAGAGAGAGAGAGAGGAAGAAAGAAGAAAGAGAGAGGTACGAGACCACGGAACCAGCAGGTTCTCCGAGTACCTACAATGGTGTTGCGTATCCGTGCGCGGACGGCTCTATTCAGCTCCAAACAATGTAATCACAACTCAGCGTTTTCCGCGACGTCCGCGACGCTCCCTTATCGATCGGCGAAATCGACCGTCGATCAACGCATCCTCGTTTGAACTCAACGTCTCAAGGTGAAACCCGGCGTTAATTAATTAAAGGCCTGTCCGCCGTTTCGTTGCGGATCCCAGTGACTACGATCGACTCAGGCGTAAGAATTGCGATTATTATTCTGACAAGAATATGGTCCGACATTACGCTGCATCCTCTACTGTTATGTATTTCTGCGCGACTCGATTGGGGAATTTTCGTCATAACTGGCGTAATTTTAAATATGCTGCAATTGTATCTTCGAAATTACACTTACATTTCGAAGCAAATTTATCGTTTGCGAAAGTAGCTTTTTTTTAATAAAGTAAATCTAAATAAAGTAAACTCTTAACGAAAGTACTATATTATTAACGTTATCCTAAAATACTTTTATATTCTTTCTATCATTCAAAATTAAATTTATCAAAATCAAAACGCACATTGTTGTCTTCTGAAATCGGAATAATAGTTTCACAATTATTTGAAAGCAAATGTAATTTGAAATCCGCTGCAGAAAGTTCCTTGCCAATCGTCATCGTTTCATAAAAGTTTTATAAAAATCCTTTTGTAATCGAATGCCGCACGCGCGATCGCAAGGGATTATTAATCGGCGAACTCGTTCACGCGATTTTGGAATGAAGTTAGGGCTGATTTTACAAAGGGCCGTTGCACGCACTCTGTTCCGCCTTGCCCGTGTATGATCCCGCCCGAACGGCGAGACGAGGAAGGGAATGAAGAACGGCGAATTTATGCTTTCGTGTTTGTGAATAACTCCGGCACGCAACGCAATGCAGCACAACGCGTATTTATATATGCACTCTCTCGGCCTCCTTCGAATTTGAATTACCGGCGAGTCAGGTGAGCCGGGCGATCGTTAATCGAGCAGGTAGTAGGAGGAGCGCGTGAGCCTGGGAGTTGGTTGACCGTAGATTAGTCTATCTGACAGGAGGACCCGACGTACACACAGGAGGCATACCGAATACGCCTAATCGCAGCTGGCATCGTCAATACCGCGGGAGACGCGCGCGAGATACCAGCGGAGCTCGATTTGATCAAGAAATTAAGGCTCACTAATTACATGCCTGTCAGAGCGCAATCTAGCAGCGACAAAGTCAAACGAGTTAACTTAATCCTAAACGCAATAAGTTTCTACTTACGGACATCTGCTCTCAGAACGTATTTCTTCAGAAATTCCGTCAAATGGGTGGGGGATGCACATCGTTGCCCTAAAAAAAGTAGAAAATATATTATAATGTAACACATACATTATAAATACTATTAATAAAACTTTAAAATTGTACTGGACGCATTTAATATCTAAGATTTTTAAGGATTTTTGGTTTTGCTTTAAAAAATTTATTTTGACAAAAATTAAATGCAGAAAAATTTATTTATCCTGACACACACACACACACACACACACACACACACACACACACATCTGATCTGTACAAATTCCTAATCTTATGATACTCACGAACGATCTAATACTTATCGTGTTTAAACATATACACAAATCCAGTGTGAAAAAGAAAATTTACGATCAGCCACCTTCGATGACCACGATGTAGCCTTTTTCCCGATCGGCGAGTGGCGTGATCGAAATCAATTACTCATTAATCGCCCTCGTCCGCCGGACCGACCTCCGCACTCGTAATTAACAGTGATTAATTAGACTCGATGCTCGATCGATATATTTTATCGCGTATATGAAATTCGCGCCGCGGGTTTTCCGCAGGATGCCAACCGAAACCGAAAGAAAGGTGAAGAGAAGGGGGAACTCTGAGCGCGAAGATGCGAGGGGAGGATTTGAGTAATCATTGATCGTCATGCGATCGTGCTTTTGAATTATCCTCTCTTCTTGCCTGTACCCATAAAAATCACGATAATACCAGCTTCTAACAAAATTTGCACAAAAGTCTCGAATGAATACTATATGTAAGTACTTTAACTTGCGTACATATTAGACTACATTTGTTAAACGAAAAGGCGCTCAGTACCATGCGTCAACGTCGTTCGAGCAATTAAAGCGAGGGAGCAACGAAAAAGAAAAAGTGGTCGAGAGCCCTGCCCTGATTTATCGCTGTGAGCGGTGTAATGAGACGTCCGAGGTCCGAAGGGGCGACAATTTAGCCGCTGATAATCTGAACAATGTTCTACATTCGTATTACGACTGCCGTAAATTAACCGTATCTTAATGACACCGCGAGGAGCCTCAGCCTCGAGGACTCAGCCGCCCACGCGAATCGCCCGCGACATCTCCGATCGCCGCGCGATCTCGGCAGCTCGTTCGCTTGCGCGGTACGGAAACCGGAATGCCAGGTGCGAAAGGGGGCCCTGGCGAGGATCCGTCCTCGTCCTCGGGAGCGGCACGCAAATTGTCCGGCCGAGTGGTTTTTACGCGTCGGATAGATCGGCCGATCGCAAGGGCGTGAGCCGCCCCGAGTGATCTACGGGTGATCGCGAGTCGACACGCAACAAGACGTACGGCCCTTCGGAGGAGCGCCTATATAGAAAAAACAATTAGCCGATCTCGGCGTCGAACGAGGGCATAAATTAGCGATCGGCAGACCCGTCAGAAGCCGGCAATAAGAGCGAGTATGCCGGACGGCGTGTTAAGCCGCCGAATGCACTTGGATTTAATCGAGATCGAATGTCATCGTGATCGGCGGAACGGATCTCGCGCCTTAATTGCGTCAAATCACCGGTATTAGGGCAGTAACAATGGCGCGGGCGCGCGATGATATTTCCGAAGGCTATAGAAACCGCGGGTGGCGTCGAGAATGCGGGCCACGGCATGGTGGGTTGGTGCGGCAGGAATTCTCGGGGCGGGCGACGGACAAGAAGATTTCAGATCGCGTGTGGGCACATTGCATTGTTCGTAATGTAGCGCGATTTAATGTTTGCCTTTTACTCATCGACTATAATATAACGTATCTCGCCCACGAGTCGCAAAGAGGATCCGCGCGAATCGTGCACGGAAATCGTGAAAGGTCCGATTCGCATGATAGTGATATTTAGCTGTGTTTCATTGCGGAGATCGTGTAGGCGCTACCTATCGGTAAAACCTATCGGATTCAATCGGATTACTATACCTAAAATCTTACGCGTATAGCGATTTCATTAAAACCTTCCACCTGACGTTTTCAAGTCGTGTCGAATCTCGCGAAACAATCCGCGTAAATAAAATGTTCTTCTATTTGTTGAAAAAAAAAACAGTGTTTTGTCGCAAGCAAGGCGGGCTTTAAAAATAGCAATAAAAATCGGTTTATCACGATTTCGCTTCACGCCCGTTAATCGTTCGGAATCGACGAATAATCCGCGCAAGCCGGAATCCATAAAGTCGATAATTAGTAGCGACATAAACGATGAGTTCTGCGAGAGTTACGGGCGCATTTGCAATAACTTATAATTTCACGCACGCTTAGCCGCGTAGTTAGTTATCGCCGTTGCCGTTGCGTTCTATTCATTCCAAAACGCTTTCATCGCGCGTCACGAGGCCGCACACGTTCACTGCCATATCGAAGAGTATCGCAATTAAGTGAGTCTTCTTTCTCCATTCTCTCCGCACGCCGCGCAAACACGCTATACGTACGATACTCCTCTGACAAAAATATCCGGCGCGCTCGCCGGGATTCCGCGGCGAATAGAATTACCCGGGTCCAGGCACTTCGTGAACTTCTGACCCAGAATCCCGCACGGCGATGGATATATTGAAATCATCCTGAATGCAGTAAGCCCGATTTTCCCGAAAGTCTCGAATCGAATTACTATTTAACCAGAATTAGAATAAGTATAATACTGAAGTACGTGCATGTATGTGTGGGCTCTCTATAAAATATTCAGTATATTTTATAGCCGGTAGAGGTATATCAGAAATTATAATAATAGAGACAAAAAAATCTTAATTAGTAATATTTTACGAGTATCTTGGACGTTACAATAGACATGAATATGTTATACGCGTATATAACGATGATTGAAAATATTTTCCGGATATCCCGTGTTCCCTTTACCTCTCACGTGGGATTTCTTAGAAATATTGCAATATCCCAGCGAGAGATAGTCTCTCGACGTGGTCTCGCAGATTTCCCTTCGCTTCGTCTCGGATTGCAGAATCCGGTATATAAATCGACAAGTCGGTAAACACGGTTGACGGAGATTGGCGTGACCCGCCATTAGGCGGAGTAATCAACAAGTCGATAACGCACGGTACCGGTGTTATATGTTATACGCGACGATTGCACAATGGCGGGGGCGATTTGCGAACGCGGCCGGATCGAGAAAATCGCCGGCGGTCGTGCCGCCGAGACGCTTAAATCACGCAACACCCACATACGTCTCACTCTCTCTCACGCTATGCACGTGCGAAGTGGAAACGCGCGACGAAACGCAACGCGCCCCTCTCGCCTCTGATTTGAATGAGCGAGAGGCGAGGCCGGCACGACGATGTGTTTTGCCACGTCGCTACAATAGATCCGGAGAACAATGCGCCGGACGACAATGCGTATATTATCGGCAGCGTCGATAATTAGTTTCTCCATTTGGTCGAGAGGCGCGCGAAAAATTAATCGATCCGCTCGGCGCGACAGTACAATCGGCCGAATTAATTATACCGGTGTGGCATTTACTTAATGAAGCGTCATTGAAATTTTACAACGCGCGCGAACTATATTGCTAATGCAATCGGAAGAATAATTTTGCTTAAAAGAATTTATGATATCCGGGAGACACGACGATAAATTTCGATAAAATTTATTGATCGAATCAATTATTGATTCGCGATGACCACCGATTCTAAAGCAGCCTGTCAGCGAGATTTTTCAGCATATCTAAGGCTATTTCGAGATATCTAACGTTGGAATTTGAAAAGTGCATCGGTTTAGTGAACAGCTAAGGTTTAAGACCAAGTGAGTAGCAGTATTGCATTTGTTAGCATATTTGCTGCGGCCACCTCGCAATCCTCGCATCATGAAAGACGCCGAAGCGCGGAATCATCTCCTCCGCGGAACGTCGTCACGGTGCATACAACCGTGCATCCGCGCTTCCAGATTTCCGTGGCATCGAGCGCGCGTGTAGCACTGCCGCGCCGCCGGCGGCATCGGGGCGTTAAAGCGCCGTAAAACGCGTCTGGTCGCGCTATCACGCGACGAAATACGGAGAAAAACGGGAGAGGAGGAAAAAGGGAGACGAAGGAGGCAGCGAAGAAGGAGATGTAGAGGCGGCCGCAGATAACGCCGCTGCGATAAAGTCGAACGCTAAGCCGTGTGCGCGCGCGCTTTGTTTCTTCTCGGTTGGCGACTAATGACAGGATATTATACGCAAGAAAATGATCCCGCGGCGGTAAGTCGCACGGTGACGAGGAAACGATAGAGAAAGAAAAGGTGGGAGAGAGACCCTTTAATTTAATGTCCGCGAGCGAGCGATATCCTCTGTTTTGTGCAAGCGGGAGAGCACACCGTCATCTTCATTAAAGGATCTAGGAAAATGATTTCGCATGTGGGGTATAGAAAGACTCGGGCTGCGTCCGCGAGAAGAAGAGAGGACGGAGTAGAAGAGAGGGGAGGAGAGGAAGGCGGATCAAGATCGCCTCCGCATGCCGCCTAAGTGCTCTCGTAAAACGACTCTAGCATTTCATCTGTTCTTATTTAGCGGCAGATTACGCGTGCTTCGCCAGAGCGCGAATTAAATACAATAAATATCAAGAGCTCCCCCTGCTCTCCATCTCTCTCTGTCTCTCTTTCTTGCTTTTTTCGATTCTCTCTTAATCGCGCTCGTTGATTAAGCGACAAATTATCGTCCGATAAGACTTTGTGCGGCGCGGCTCTGCCTCGCGCCGTTTTCTCCAAACGAATCGACCGAACGCTCGTAAACCGCTTCGAAGGCAGGATGCAATGCACAAAGTATGCGATGCCAGCGATCTCGCGAGCTTGCGTCCGGTTTATCAATATTTTTGTCCCGCGTTTACGGCCCGCGTTCGCTCGGCCGAGGGAGCGTTTTGTGAGGCGCCGCGAGCCCACTCTTTTCCCTGTCTTTCACCCGGCCGCGTGTAACGATGTAATAGTTCGGAGAAACTGCCGCAGTAAAAACCGTAATGAGGATGCGCGTAAACGTTCGCACCCTGAAGTTAGTCGGCCCATTTGACGTAGTCGCGATTTACTCCTCGACGAAACGGGCAGATAATATTCGTGCGCGCAATTATATCGGCGCGCGCGTGAACTCGTCC